AAATGCTAGAAAAGCTCTTCAAATATTCAAGTTATTGTTCCACTCAAACTCCTACTGGAATTTCACGTGCACGTGCAGCCAGAAACCCTCAATCAGACAGGAAAACCAGCAGCACAGCCAGAAACAATAAGCGTGCGGAGTGTCGTGCCCAGACAGTGCCCCGTCTTAGATGCCATGGCACAGAGGCGTGAGGTGAAGCGGGGGCACACAAAAGGCACATATTATACATGAGAAACAAAGTACTTTCTTGTCATCGTCATTTGGTTTGCAGCCCTCCTGATCTCTTGCCAAGATGTAGGTGCTCCAGACACGGGAAGCAGGTCCTCTCAGGGCCAGAGGGGCCCCATATGGCCCCAAACATGCCCTGATCAACAATATAAACACCTGTCTTTTCTTCGGGCTTCTCTCTGTTTCATGGGTCTCCTTCTCTTCTTCACTGACTGGTTCTTTGGCAACCTGCACTGGGTATACGCCCAAAAATGCTCTGAGCTAGAGTGACTTCACTGGCCATATAGATGTAAGGAGCAAACACTGATACAGTGCGTTACCACACCCACCACACAATGATGTAAGTTAACATCATACCCAAGATAAAGCAATTGCAGGGTAAGGGCCTTGCTGAAGAGCCCAATAAAGTAGAATCACTCCCGGCATTTGTAGGATTCAATCCGACGACCTTCCAACTGCACAGATCCCTACCCTCAGAGCCGCCACTCTGCCCAGCTGCATACATTAGGTTTAACTTTTCCTCAAAACGCAGTGGGATATTTGGTAATTCCAGTGATGTCATTTTCTTTTCATTTCAAGAGCACAACAGCAGGCCTAGAATTTAGTTTTTGTTTGTGTGTGGGTGATGGGCAGGAAAAAAATAGGTCAAATCCTTTGGATAGGATTTCTGTTCTCCCACTGAGTGAGATACTGCATCTCAGTAGGATAAATATTATGAAATAACCAGCCTGAATGATTGCAGCAAAGCATCCATTTACAGGTCTGATATCCTTCACCTGTACACAAAAACTAGCTCAATTACGCTGTGGTGCAATGAGAGCAAAATCACGGGCAGAGAGGTAGTCTGGCAGGATGAAGTTGGAACATAATCCTTCGGGCCCCTTTCTTAAAGAGTGGGACCATCACTCCAGTCTGCCAATCCGAAGGCAGCGTTCCCAATCTCCACACAATGTTGAAGAACCGTTTCAGCCAAGACAGCCCAACATCTAAAGTTTTCAAGAACTTGAATCTCATCCACCCCCCAGAGCCTATTCACCGAGTAGTTTGACTACCTCAGTGACCTCAGCCCCAAGGGTGGGCAAGTCCTCCTCTGAGTCTTCCAGCTCTACTTCCTCAAAGGAAGGTAAGTCAGTGGGATTCAGGAGGTCCTCAAAGTTCTCCTTCCACAACCAGGCTATATCTCCACTTGAGGTCAACAGGGCCCCATCCCTGCTGCAAACGGCATGGGTAAATCCCTGCTTCCCCTCCCTGAGTCATCTGACAGTTTGCCAGAATCTCTTTGAGGCTGACCAAAAGTCATTTTCCATGGCCTCACCAGACTCCTCCCACACCCGAGGTTTCGCCGAAGCCGCATCCCGCTTGGCCTGCCAGTACCTGCCAGCTACTTCAGGAGTTCCCTAACGAAGCTAGGAAGACTTCCTTCCGCGTGACGGCTCCCCTTACGCTCCACAAAGACAGCTCAGCAATGGAGGCACGGAACATGGCCCATTCGGGTTCAGTGTCTCCAGGATCCCTTGGGTTCTGCTGGAAGTGTGAGCAGAATATCTCCCGGACAGAAGCCTCTTCCAGATTCTCCCTGCACACCCTCACTATGGGTCTTCTAGGTCTATCTGGCATTCCCCCCCCCCCAACTGATCAAATTCACCACTAGGTGGTGATCAGCTGACAGCTCAGCCCCTCTCCTCACCAGAGTGTCCAAGTTATACGGTGGCAGATCTGATGAAACGACTAACAAATTAATTACTGAACTGTGGCCTATGTGGCTCTGGTGCCAGGTGCACTTGTGAACAGCCTTTCGCTCGAACATGGTGTTTGTTATGGACAAACTGTGGTTAGCACTAAGTACAATAGCCAGGGGCGCCGTAAGGGGGAAGAAAGCTAGGACGATTCCAAGGGCCCCTGAGTGACAGGGGCCCTAAAAAATTAGGAAAATAACTGGATTGGTTTGGACTGGGGGGCCTAATATGATATGCTGTCATGGGGCCCAAAATCTCTAGCAACGCCCCTGGCAGTACACAAGAACAAGGTGAAGCAGGAGACACTGGGAATGACCAAAAACCAGCCAGGTAGAGGGCAGAAGTGACTCTAATGCCAGAGATGACCATTAACTTATCTGACAGTTCCGCATAAATTGGAGGATGACATCAAGTGACCTTCAGATGGAATGAGAAACATTAAGTGCAGGTGTGAAGTGCACTGCTAGGACAATTCATAACAGGCTCCTAGAAACAGGACTGAAGACCCATAAAACCAGGAAGAATTAAGTCCTTCATCAGTGAGAAGCAGGGATGAGCCAGGCTGGAGTTTGCAAAAAAAAAATATATATATATACTTTACATAGGTGTAAAGCCAGAAACTGAAAATGTTGCTGTGGTCAATTATTTTTTTCCAGAGCTGTATATATATATATATATATATATATATATATNTAGGACGATTCCAAGGGCCCCTGAGTGACAGGGGCCCTAAAAAATTAGGAAAATAACTGGATTGGTTTGGACTGGGGGGCCTAATATGATATGCTTTCATGGGGCCCAAAATCTCTAGCAACGCCCCTGACAATAGCAGAGCACCACTTGGGTTCAGATCCGGAAAGTCATTCCTCCCAACCACACCCTTCCCGGTTTCATCATCCTTACCCAGGGAGGCATTAAAGTCCCCCAGCAAAACAACGAGTCTCCAGAAGGGGCGCCTTCCAGCACCCTTACCAAGGTCTCCAAGATGGCTGGATACTCAAAAGCAGGAACCCAGCCTCTGGCTCAAAGTCAAGGGGAGGCGAATCTCTCATTCACCAAGGTGAACTCCCATGTACTGGCACCAAACCAGCGGGCTACGCATAGACCCTCACCTGCTTGGCGCCTGTGATCATGGGCGACTCCAGAGCCAAACAGAGTCCAGCCCCACTAAAGGAGTTTGGTTCCATGTCCCTAAAGCAAGTTTTGGTGGCCAAGTTTTCTAGATTTCTTAGGATTGAAAGTGGCAGCTCTACTGAGAGCTGAGACTCTCTAAGAGTCAAATCCAAGAACTGCTTTCGGGCCAGCCCGGGGGGGGGGGGGGGGTTTGACTCAGCTCTACTCTTATAACTAGGGATCTAGGAACTGGGGCAGGGGAGAGAATGGAGTCATTGTCCTCACAAATAGAACACACCGGAACACTGCACTGCATGCCAAACTGGACACCAGATCAATTTCCATTTACAATCCACTCTACCTAATAAATGCGGAAATTGTTCTTCCCCCAAAACAAAACTCTGTGTTCTCATCTTTGTTTCCCCCTTGATTTTGTTGCGTTCAGCTCTGATGCCGAAATTCCCCAGATTGACGCAGAAAAGGCAGGCAGGGTGGAGGAGAGTACAGAGGCCAGGCAGCAGAATGACATAAGTGCTTGGATTAGTTTCATAAAACTTCTTAGTCGTCCTCACTGCTTCTGTGCCCAGGTGCGAAAGAAACTGTGCCATCAGGAAAAGCTATACACCACACTCGTGAAAAGAAAAACCTTTTCTGATGCTTTTACATTTCATAAAGATGTAGAGCAACATCACACTGGCTGACATAATACTTGTGCATAAATTCAGAATAACTCAGTGTACACTTTGTGTCTGTGGCTGATCACGGCACAATGTAACGTGTAACATGGATCATATGATCATGCATGAAAGCAAACTGAATAACAATAAGAGGATCCAGGTGAAAGGTGTGAAATCTTAGGATAGGGGCACAGCTAGATAATTTGGGTCCCCAATCCAAACTGATCCAATTAAATTTAAATTTTTCTAGGACCCCTGTCACTTGGGCCCCCTCGAATCATCCTAATTCCCCCACCCCACACACACACACACACACACACACTCTTACGGCACCCCAGGCTGAAGGCTGTCACTCTCAGAATGGGCTTTGCTAATATACCTCAAGCCAGGCATTTAAACATAATTGCTCTTGTAAGATATCCATCCATAGTGTCATGGAAGGCGAGATCCTGTCCAAAGAAGCAGAGGACACAAGGCAGAGGTATAGGCTACCCTGTGTAGGATGCTATTCTGTCTAAGGGCACAGACACACATACACTGAATCATCTAGAGCAGGAGTTCCCAACCATTTGAACTATGTGGACTGGTTTACGTTGCACAAAAAGTTTACGGACTTGCAAAATGGCCGGGAGGTGGAGGTATCTGTTGCCAGACGGTGCGACCATTTCATAAAGTTTAACTGTTTACATTTTTTTTACAGATGCGAGCAGAATGCTTGAATGAGAGGGGTCAAAAATATTTTAAAATATCAATCCATCCATATCCTGTACCATTTAGTTTAATTTAGTTACCATTTAATTTAGTTAAATTAACCAACCCCTATGCAAAACCCCCAGCACTCCGTGGCTCGACAGAATACTGGTCCAGGGGTCAGGATTCCCAGATGCAACTGGATACAAGACGACCGCCAGTACAAGCCGTATTTAAAAGCAATAAATATGCTAAAGCCTCTGTAGTATGACGTAATGAAGGATTCAGGGGAATCAGAAACGGATGTGCGAAGAAAACGATCTTACGGGGATAGATAGGTAAAAAAAAAAAAAAAAAAAAAACACTATACAGCTATTAAAATGGAAATGGGCCACGGGAAGCAGAAGTAAAAAGCCGAAGATAATACCAAGTTGGGGCAGTACTTTCCGATAGCAGTATAACCGGGGGAGCAGAGAGCCAGAAAGTGCAGGGAAACACAAGAGTATGAGCAGAACTTTCGAAGAAAACACATTGCTGGGGGGAGGGGGGGGAGCTTAGTGGGCGTGCCTGAATGTTAAAAAGGCTTTGGAGGAGGACATCATTAAAAAGCCGTCCCGAATATCCGTGGAGCGCAATGACGCGGATCTCCGGGGCGTTTGTGGCTGGGCGCCGTACGATGTAGCAGACGCCGATCCGCGGGGAAGCCCGACGTCTTCGTGTGTCCCGGAGCAAAGAGGCAGCGCTGTCCGATGGATCGCTGGGTTGCTCTCTCTTGCCTGCTTGTCGGGGTTTTGACGCGGACGACGGCCGCCCAGAATGACCCACCTGAGACAGGTGAGTGATCCGGAGCAGGATGACGGCTTCGAAAGAAACTGCACGTTCGCATGGATATTATACTTTCACTTCCATACGTGCATAAATACTAGATTGAAATAGTAGCTGGTAATCATTTACTTAGTCGGTATTTATAGGTGAGGAAGCGGACGTCACTGGTGCCGCGAGGGTGAGGGTTCGCGCTCTCGCTCCCAGTGCGCCTGTAAACTGGCCATAGATCATGGGGGTGTATGCACGGTAATGGTCCGACACCCAGTGCAGGCTGCACCCCAAGCCTGAGACCCATCCTGCCTACGATAGGCTGCAGCACCCCCCGCAACCCTTACCGGGACAAGCGTTAGGAAGATGGATGGTAAGGTATCGTACTGGTTAGTGCGCAGCAATAACAGCTTATTGTGAATAGGCATCCTATTTAACAGCGTTATTACTGTTTGGGAAAAACACTGGAAAAAAATGTGCATGTTATATAATGTGGAAAGCATTTTTCAGAGAATTCCCTTGAGAAACAATAAACATATTATTTAATACGTTAATGAAAGCTTTTTTCCTCAACATATTTTTTCTCATATTCTTCTTTAGGGAGTATACTGAAAACAGTGTCCAAAATATCTGACGTACAGTGTTGTATTGTTCCAAACTCTGAGTGGCCACATTTTCCAATGGTTTGAAAATTGTTTTTACTTCATTAAAGTTTATTGATGTAAAGAGATTCTGGATGTCGGATATGGGTAGTTGTTTGGTAATAATTTAGTTACATGTACACTAACTAAGTCCCATAATAAAAAGCTACTAACTTTCTCAGAATCTGTCACATAAAAGATTATCGCCCATTATGATGAATAATGAATTATGATGTTGTAGTGCATGAATTTCCATGCACTACAACATGATCCCACTACAGTCAGTTCTCCCCCATTATGTGATTTATCCAGGCTTTGGAAACTATTGTTTTGATCTATTTTTATCAAACCAAAAAATAAAGGTGTTAAAACTTGTCTGAATGCAACTTAACCAAGCATGTGTTGTTTTCCAGGGAATTGAACAAAACTGAATCTCTTGGATACAGTTACACACATCAAAGATGATCTCGTACAATTAAAGATTGCAATATGTCTAACTTTGTATTAAAATAGCCCCCAAGTTAATAAACAGTTTAGACCACCTTTAAGATGATAGCTGAGTTCTAATTTCCTAGATCCTTTTGAAATATGCTCCGGTGGAATAGTATATTCAAAGATAATTTTGGTAAGGATGATTTTGGCAAAACTTCGGGGTCTTGAAAATGATCTACTTGTTAAAACCCATCTCACCAGTAACAAAGGGTGCTCTTTATTTTTAATGCTATTTTTAATGGTTCTGAAACCAGACCAGAAAAATGAAGGTCCATAGATTTTTCAGAATCAGAAAACTTTTATTATCCTGGAGGAAATAGTTTAAAATGTGATATGTGTTGATATGTGTCAGTGTGATTGGCAGGTGTACCCCTAGATGGGGCACCTACAAGCAAGGCCATCATGCAAATGAGGACGGGGAGGGAACCGGTCACAGGCTCGGATTAGCTGCCCAGATCTGACCAGTGGGACTGTGTGGGTTTTTTGTCCTTCTCCCTGTCCTTCAGGGAATGAATAGGATTCTGTTAGCTGGTTCTTCATCCGGCTCACGGACGAGTCTGTGGCTGCATATTGTCAGTACTTCATCGCTAATTAAATCGAGCGTTACCGCCATCCTACAGACACCCTCTAATTGCAGTGGTGTCCAGTGATGCGGTAAGTGGAACGAGTGACGTTTTGGCCGGTCAAGCCTTATCAGAGTGGAATTTAGGTTTGCAACGCCTATTATCAAGGCCTCTGCCAGACAGTTTATATATATATATTTTTCCTCATATTTCTGAGAAATATGACATTTATTAAAAAGATCTTTTCTGGGTCCGTTAGCTTTATTGTCACATTTAAGGTTTGCATGCATGTCAGGTTTTGCTCCGTAACAAGTCAGGGAAATAAGCCGAAGATAATTTTTTTTGGAATTTCGCACGTTGGAGTGCGTGCAGCCAGCCCTGGCCTTACATCCTGGAAAAGATCGGAAAACCTCAATGTAAACATCTTATTTTCAACAGAACTTCCCTCCCTGGGGTTGCAATTCGGGATTAAACACGGAACACTGTATTCAATACATGACAGGTCCCCTCGTTTCCTCACACACTAGCAGGAACATTAGTGTCTAAGACAATGGCAGTTCTGTGTGGCCTTGGTGTGGAAAACCTATTAGTCACCCCGGTGCTGACGTAGAGACCGGCTCTGCCCAGCCGCATCGATCCAGTGATCCAGTGATCAGACGGCAGTAAAACGCTCCCCTCTTAAAGTGACAAGCAGACATGTCTGTTTCAGCTGTGTCATCTGCAGTGACGGGGCGGCCCAGTTGGGAGCTGTAGGTGGTGATTTTTTTTTCCTTCTTTCTGTTGCCATGAGAGGCAGCCGTCGTGGTGGCGATGTAAGCCAGATGTGCAGTGCCAGATGTATGCCTGATCCTCTGGTGTGGCTTTGAAGCCCGATGGGTGGCTGAAGCAGTCCTGCTGCTCTGCTGCAGGACGCTGTTTCTCAAAGCTGCAGCCGGACGTGCAGGTGGAGCAGGTGCTGGGACCTGGAGTCGTGTGTGTGTGTGTGTGGGGGGGGGGGGGGGGGGGGGGGGGGGGGGGGGGGGGGGTGAGAACGAGGATGCGGGGGCGTCAGTGAGGATCAGGAACCTGGGCAGGACAAGGCCTCAGGCACCTGTTAGTCTTAGATACCCTTAAGTATTTCAGAAAGTTTTAATTGCATGTTTTCAGCTGAATACTTAAAAGAGAGGATTCAGGCAGGTGTAGCGCATATCTTTCCTAGCAGAATCTGGTGAAATACTTCCAGCAGCTGTTACGGCCGTAACACTCATAAGTCTCCAGCTGTTTTCGGCAGCTTGTTCATTTGTGTTGTGCGTTTTGCTCAAACTTACGGACTTTGATTTCCTGGCTTTGTACAGATGATGAATAGGATTTGAGTCCCATCCTTGGTTTCAGTGACTCTCTCCTTCTCATGCCACCACACTGTGGCTTATTGTCCTCCAGAAAGGTGAATCTTTCCTCGCTAAAGTCTTCAAGGGACTGGAGAAGTTTTTCCTCCTGTATTTGGGGGTATCTCCTTCTGTCCAGCTTCCCTACCGCTCTGACCGGCGTTCCGGTCCTTGTCGAGGAGAAAGTCCAACATTCCTTAACGGCATCGCCGTCCTGCTTGACTCCCGAAACGCTGATGCCCGGCTGATGGACCGTTTTAGCTCTGCGTCACACTGCTTGACATTTGCACACAAAGGCTCTTTCGGTTTCAACCGACCGTGAAACATTTCTGGCACATTTCTGCAGAATCAGTTGAGTGTTTTTCTGCGGTGAGTGGCCTTTCAGATGGACATTTCTGTGAGGTTCGGCTGATTCATCATTTGTGCCACTAGTCACTAGCCCTCTTCACATTCCCCCTTGCTGAGCTAGTCAGGGCAGGGGGGGCTAATCCAGGAAATAATCTTTGTGCAATTAAATGACCTGCCCCAACCAGATGTTTATGAAAAGTAATGTTTCTTCAAGATTGAGTCTTTCTAAAGAAATTCCATTACCTCATAACTCACCTTCCTGATACCGTATGATTTTCAGTCATAATAAGTGTCTGTTTGCTGCTATAAATATGTTGGCTGTTAATGTGTTTAGTAGCTTCTGGATGTGAGAAGTATTGACTGTCACAACTGAAAGTTTTAGTACCATTTTACGGTGAATAAGAATGCAGAACCATACATTACTGTGAATATATGCAGAGCCAATATAGATAAATCTGAAAAATATCCTGTGTTAAGTACTGATCGGTTTGGTCCTTTGGTTAAAAGTGAGATACCTTCACATTTACACTCTCCCTCTGCCACTCTCTCCCTTTCACTCTCTGTCTCTCACTCTGTGTGTGTCTGTCTCTCACTGTCTCTCTCTCTCTCTCTCTGTTTCTCTCTCCCTCTCTCTGTCTGTCTGTCACTTTCTCCTTCACTCTCTGTCTCTCTCTCCATCTCTGTTTCTCACTCTCTCTCTCTGTCTCTCTCTCTCTGTCTCTCTCCCTCTCTCTGTCTGTCTCTTTCTGTCTTTCTCTTTTTCTCCCTCCCTCCCCCCTCTCTGTCTGTCTCTGTCTCTCTGTCTGTCTCTGTCTCTCTCTCTGTCTCTGTCTCTCTGTCTGTCTGTATATAAATATCCTTCTGGGCCATACCCATCATCCAGGATGAAGAACCCACACTTACGGGCGAAGCTGGCGGAGGTCCTGGAGGCGGTGATGCCCCACATGGAGCCTGCAGTTCCCGGGGCGGCGCTGCCCGTCATGTTCCAGCGGCAGAGAGTCTTCTGCTCCTACAGCCGCGCCCCTCAGCTGGCAGAGGCCCTCATCACTGTGTTCGTGGATATTGAATTCACGGGTAACTGCTGCCGAGGATTGTGGGTCCTGGGGGGGGGGG